CAGATAATGGATGTCTATTCTATTATCATTTCTCTATCTGTAGAATGGGTCTGTTTTATGTTTTCTTCTCCATTCAGAGGGCCCCCTGCCTGTCTTTGCCTAGGGTCCCACATTTCCTGAATCCACCCCTGCCACCAATAAAGAAGCATCAGAAATGGGAATAAATGCCAGCAAAGCGTTAAAGTAGAAGATGACATCATTTATAGCTCAAACAGTGAAAGTGGAAACTGTGAAGGAAAGATGAGATTTTTGTTTGTTTCATGTGAGGAAAGTTGCTCATCACTTCCCACACAGATCTGTTTCCTGTACAGTAAACCTGAACTTTCTGGGGGCATAAAAACCACACAAATCTGGCTGTTTTTAACTTCGCTCTGGGACCTTAAACTAAAAAAACCTCACATTTCCAGTTACTTTTAATGGACTGTGGCAGAATTCAAGGTGAGCTGAAGCTGTTTGATTGAAATAGTTGGTTTTGTCAGTAAAACACGGGAGAAGGTTTGGTTCTGCTGAAGGATCACTTTCTCCATCTGTTCTCTCTGATAGCCACATTAATATTTTATGACACCAACATCAACATGGACACAGAGCAGTTCTGCTTCCTAGAACTATTTCCCGGAGTTAATATCCCTCTAATAGATAATTGGATGAAAAATGGTTGAAAAGATGCGCTTTTATTCGGCAGTGATCAGAAAAGATAACATGGCCACAGATTGGAGAGAAACTCCACACCGACTCCAGGTCCGCGATCCGGAACCGCTGCTTGCAACGAACCAACTGGTCCCGGTTTAAATTGACGGATGGCCGCGCGAGCCAATCAGCTTCCGCCTAGCGCCCCCTTCTTGTTTATTTCATAAAAGCAACCAATCAGAACGGTGCGGCTGTCGGAGTGCGTCATCAGAGCAGAATGTGAATATGGGCACGCGCTGCATGCTCCCCATCCCCCACAGCAACAAGGAGCAATGGCGGCCGCTTTTTCCCCTCTGCGCCGCTTTGTCCCGCTGTCAGTCAGCCTGTAAGACATGAGTTCATGAGTGGGTAAGAAAGCAGTGTGTCAGAGGTGCGCCTTCCACGAGCACACGCTTCTTCCGGTGCTTTTATGTTTCCCGCACTCTTGTCATCGCATGTTTCTGTTGTGTCGCACTGTTTTTTTTCACACTCCTGGTCCCTCCTCCTCCTTCATGGCGGGGCTTTTCTCTGTGGGCTCCAACAATGGAGGAAATGAGGCCAGCAGCCCGTTCACCACCAAACACCCGTTAAAACTGCGACCTCATGCCTTTATTCGACGGCTCCGGTGTCTGAGTGTGCGGGCCCGGCTCCCCGCACGGGTTTTAAGCGAAGTGCGGGAAAAACGGAGCGCAGGGAGGGAAGTGCGCACATTCAGGTCAGAGAGGGAGTTTCAAAAATGGAGGCTGCGAGGGGGAGGGGCGAGCTGAGGCCGACCATCGCGGTAATTAAAGTCAATCTGTGCGCCCAAACACTCAGCGACGCTGTAAAAACATTGAAATCCAGCAGAAATGCCCATTTTCTGAAGGATTCCCCCCATTCGTTCGCCTGCATCCCCTCTCCCTCCGCGGCGGTGGGCGGGAGAACCGCTCCGGGTTCGCCTCCTGATTGCGCCAGCCGGCCGTCAATCAATCAAAGTGACACTACGTCAAACGGAGCGCAGGTTTATTCGGTGGATTTACTGCGCAGCTCGGTTCAGAGCCGGTTTTCTGGGCTCAGCGGGTCCGGGCGAGCCTCCTGATCCCCGCCCGGTTCCTTCTGCTGCCTTTAATCTGCTCAGATTACTGTTTTTTAGCGGAATAAGGACGGTTGCATTGGGAAGAACAGGAGGGGGCGTGGCCTCGGCGGATAGAAATTGTATCCATTGTTCCACTCCGACGCGCGGAGAGAACACCTCTGTGCGTCCCGCAGCCAATCAGCGGGCAGCAACCTTCGCTAAGCCCCTCCCCAAGCCTATATTAAAGCCTCGGCCGTGAGCGCCGTCGGCCACTGGCACAATATAATCCAGATAGAAGCAGGAGCCGAGCAGAGGGGATTTACGTTATTCCTGCTTTCATTTCAGCCGTCCTTTATTTTATTAACCTAAAACAATGGCAGACACGCAGGTGGACTCTGGCTCGGATATCTCTGCCAAGGTAAGCCTCCTCACACCCGTCTCCCTGCGCTCTAAGCCCCGCAGCAGCTTTACGCGTCTCCAGCCTGTAACCTAGATTTTTTTTTTTCTCATCATTTTTTTTTTTTTTCTGCAAAACCTTTTCGATCGCGGCTTCGCGCTCAGTCGAGCCCAGTGGAATGTGGGGTCCGTGGATCCGGGTCCACGCGCTCTGATGGAGGATAAATGCGTCCCTAGAATAAAGCGGGCAGTCGGAGCTCCGCGTCATGGAGCTCTGCGCCTCCAGCGCCGCGGCTCATTGTCCGGAGAGGAAGAGTCTGCGCGGGGTTCTTTGTTTATACAAGCGGCTCGGTTCTGCCATCCAGCCCGAACCGGTGCCCTGACGCACGGCGCGCTCTCCAACACGCACCGATGGCTCCTTTTCCTGATTAACGGCGCCTCTTATCTCTGATTGAGGAGCCGATTCTCACTTTTGTCTCTCCTCCTCCGCATCCTGTTAGATAGGACTGAGTTTTTATATCGGGGGGAGAAAAGCTGCCGGGACTGTTTGGGGTCACTTTCCAGTCGGATGTGCGGATTATCGGGGCTCCTGGGGGCTCCCCGCCTGGGGATGGAGTGAAGTCTGAATGGAGGACGGAGCAGAACGCATGATGCCAACTTTCACCTCCTCCTCCGGCTCCAATGTTCTGCTCGATCCGTCGTGGCTTCGTGTTTTTGACACCTGCTGACCGCGCGCTCCGACCCGGCTTGTGTCCGGACCCTCCGCCGCCGGGGAGCCGCGCGCCGCGGCTTCCGCTTCTTTGCGTATTTTTCCTTTGGATATCCGGGGGGAAACTTTTTTCGGTTGATTTTGTAACCTTTCTCGCGGTGTGCGTTAGAGGTGCGCGTGCGCGGCCCCGCGGTGGAGGTGTGATGTGACGGTGCTGGTTCCCCCTCTTTGTGGTCCGGTCGGTGTCTCCCTCCATCCCTGCGCCCTCTCTGGGGGGGTCCGCTGCCGGACTTCAGGTTCGGATCCGGTTCCGTTCAGCGGCTCCGGGCTGCTGATGAATGAACATATGGAGGCTGGAGGGGAAAAGTTGGGGCTCTGGATTAAGCCGAATAATCCGGGGGTGGGGGGGGTTCGGTCTATTTTTAGTGGTGGAGCCGCGCAGGCTCCGTTGCCGCTAAACAGCTTAATGGATTTTAACCACTGAGATTATATCAACCAATTAATCAATAACTGTAGAAGTGGCGGGAGCGCGCGTGCCGCGGCAGCGAGCGCGTTTCCGGTGAATGAATGTTTGGGTTTTATCTGCGTTTCGGTTCCGTTCGGACCCGCGGCGTTTTTCTGCGCCTGCCATGTGTCGCCTTCTATTGTCCTTTGCTGCCTCCGTTACAACAAGCGGCGAGCAGAAGCAGCGTGCCTCGCGCTCTCCTCCTCCCCCTCTTCATCATCACCCCCCTCCTCCTCCTCTCCTTCCTCCTCCTTCTGCTCCGGCGCCCTCCTGTGTTATTTTAAACCCAGCAATGCATCCTGGGTATTGAAGTTCCTCTCCGGGGCGTGTCTGGTGACATAGCAGCCATGGCAGCCGGCAGGACTACAATACCCAGAGTTCCCCGGGGCCTACATCAAAGTATCAGATTACAACACATTAGAGGGGGAGGAGGCAGGGGGAGGATCTGCAGAGAGCGATATGCTGTTTAAATAGGGAGGCTGAACAATGTGCAGCTGTAAGTGGGCCAGTGGGTAGAAGGGCAGCTGGCCTTATTTTTAAAAGCTTCTGCTTTTCTTCTGCAGGACCTGAAAGAGAAGAAGCTGGCGGAGGAGAAGGAGAACGGCAAGGATGCTGCCACCAACGGGAAGGTAGGGAGCCGGAAAGTTTCCCTTTACTGTGGATGAACGGGGCCGGAAGGCTAACGGCGAGATGTTCTGCAGGAGAACGAGGAGAACGGAGAGCCCGAGGTAGACGAGGAGGAGGTGGACGAGGAGGAAGAGGAAGAAGAAGAGGACGACGGAGAAGGTGGGTGTCGAGCCGCCGGTGGGCGTCCCTCTGAAAACTTCCAGAGGCCTGATGTGTGTTCTCCCGCAGGCGATGAGGAGGACGAGGAGGAGGACGAAGACGAGATCGAGGGCGGCACAAAACGGGCAGCTGAGGACGACGACGAGGACGACGAGGTGAGAAGCTCGCCGAGCACCCGGTCGGCTCCCGGAGATCTGCACGGCGGCGGCGGCTAACCTTTCCCTCTCTTTCAGGACGACGTCGAAACCAAGAAGCAGAAAACCGACGACGACGATTGATGCGTTTCCACGCCGCGCCATCCTGCTGAACCACTTCCTGATTCTTCACCTCTGACCGCTTTTACACGTCACAGGTGGAGGGGCTGGAGGACTGATCTAAAGGAGAAAAAAAATACGTAAAATAAAAAAAAATCCAACATGGTCATTAGCAAGTAGAGTTCAACAAGCATCCACCACGTCCAACCCAACGCCCCTCCAGGCTGCAAAACCAATTTTCTAGAGGACCCCGCCGCCTCGCCCGCCCGACGCAGAAATCCGGCTTCTCTTCAACAACAACTCCTCCGACGGAGAATTTGTTTGTATTTTTATTTACATTTTATATTTTTGTACATATTGTTAGAAGGGGGGTCAGCTTCTCTCTCGGCAGCGATCTCGTCAGACCAAATCGGTGCTTCTTCTGTAACAAAAAAGATTTTACTTGGTTGACCATGTTACAATATCTCAGATACTAGAAAACATGTAAAAAAGAAATAAAAAAATAAAAACATGAAAGGCAACCTCTTAAAGCCGTTGAACTCAGAGCATTCCAGTAAATTTAATGTATGTACTTTAGCTGTACCATAACTAGTTTGTTTGTATGGGAGGGTAAGGCCAAAGAAAAGAGCCTCTTTTCTTTACGTTTCTGTTTTGTTTTTTCTTTGTCAGCGAATTTTTGTTTTTTTTTTTTGTTTTATGACGGCCTGTTTTGATGTATGTGAGAAGTTTGTTGTTTGACAATAAACCGGACTTTTATTTTGTGAGTTGTACTTTGCATCTCTGCTGCATTTTATTTCCTCTTCCTGTCAGCGGAGCAGAAAACGCTGAGGTGAGGCGATGGGAAATCTGACCTTCATAGATTTATAGACCTTGTGGTTTTAAAATGAAGTCTGGTTCTACCAGAACCTTTCCTGCTGGTTTGGGTCTGTAGCTCAAACTCCAGGATTTGTTTTTTTTTTTTTTTATTAGAACTTCATATTTCACATAATGGGAGGCTTTCATTTAGCTGCCAATAATGATCCTGGTGAGTAAAAGTTCAGATTTTAACTTGGATCAGAACCAGAGGTTTTAAAGATGGTCCTCTCTAGTTCTATAGATCTGGAGTAGGTCACTGGAAGAAGAACCGGGTCAGGCTCTTTATGTTGGAGAAGAAAAGTGGAATCAGTCAGGAAAACATTTCATGTTGTCCGCCTCTCTGAAATCGGCTAAGAATTCTGGGAAAGAACCCAAACAGGTCTAGGTTTCCTTCCCCATCATTCCTCTGGGTCTCAGAACTATTAGTGTTTGGTCCAATTCCAATGGGCTTTTATTATTCTGATCCAATGTTTCGGTCTGGTTATGTCCAATCATTTGCAGAACCCAAACCATGAATGTTTGGGTTCTGATTCTGTATTTTCTGGTTGATTTCATTCAGAACTGAGACACTAGGAGCTCATTAGTGACTGAGGTTCTAGAACCTGTCAGTGGTTCTGGTCTCAGCAGGTTAAACTGTTTAAAGTCCAGTTAATCCCAGATGTAATGAATAATTCTTCCTGTTGCCTGTTTAATGAACTGGATCCAGATGGACCAGATCAGCAGCAGAACCAGTAGCTCTGGTGCTTCTCTGTCATCTCTGAAAGCAGTCATGAACCAGACCCAGATAAGCTTCTTTTTTACACCTTTTCTTTTTTGGTTGCAATGAAAGATCCCAGTCAGAACCAGGCACTGGTTCTGTTCAGGTCAGCAGCTGCAGGGTGGAGAGACCGGCTGCTGGTTCTGAGTTAATCTCAGCTCAGACATGAAAGAAGTGGAAGGGAAAGTTTCCTCTGCAGGATTTGGTTCTGATCTCAGAAACTAACACCTGAAACCCAGAACCAGGCTGTGTTTACAGAACCTTTCGGTCCAAACAGGACCTCTCAGGATCAGCTGAGAGGTCAGGAGATGATGAGGCAGCAGGCAGAATGCAGGGGGTGGATCCAGACCTGCTTGTTGCAGCAGCCGGTTCCTGACGCAGCTTCAGAGGAACAGGACAGAACCTGCAGGGCGGATCCGATGTGTGTCGGGTCATGTCATCTGCAGCCCGCAGGGCTCAGAGAGGAATGTTAGAAAACACGGTGAACTCCCTCTGCCTACATACCGTAGGTTCTTTCACCAACTCCTCCGGGTTCTTTAGATGTTCTGTTAGCAGCGGATCTGGAGCCAGAGTCTCTGATGGGAACCTTTAACTTTAAAACCAGAACCTGAACACAGAATCACTGACGGATGTTGGATCTGTAACTTATTACCTGTCTGGTTCACAGTCTGAAGGTCAAAGGTTGGTGGGGGGGACACAGAGGAACCATCAGTGACCCGGTTAGTCATGATTGGACTCTGACAGGAAGTGAGAGTACCCAGAGAGAACCCAGACATGCAGAGGGACACCAGGTCAGCTCCATCAGAGGAGGGTTAGGGTTCTTATTTGTTTTTTGAAAAGCGATTCATTATGACCCATTAAATGAATCATCCTGGTCACAATCATTCCTATAAAGTTAAAAACCAAAGTCCAGTGGATAGATTTTTTGGGGGGGATTCATTGTTTTCCATCTTGTTTAAATATTTTTCCTATTTCTCTCTCTTTTGTTCTGCAGACTAAATTGATGAGATAATCCTCAAAATGTTAAGTTTCTTAAAACTGTATTTCACAGTTTTGTTTTTCTCTCAAAATGTGCCAGTTTTAGGCAGAGTGTTGACCTACTGGTTAGAGCAGTGCTCTGTACTCTGAGAAAGTTGCAGTTAGCCGGTTCGATCCCCGCAGCCTCCACTGTGGGTCCCTGAGCAAGACCCTTAACCCCAAACTGCTCCCTGGGCGCCACACAATGGCAGCCCACATGCTCCCCAAGGCGATGGGTTAAAGACAGGGTGAATTTCTCTGATGTAAGATTAATAAAAGTTCAACTTAATTTTTCAATTCTTATATTATAGAATAATCCATATATACTGCCACAGGAACCCGCCTTTATGCCACAGACAGCCGGCTCTTACAGATATACATCAAACAAACGCTTTATTTACTTCTTTTTTACATTAGTTTCACTCTAAACTTTAAATCATTTAATTCAGTTCAATTCTTTGTTTGGCTGTGACTCCATCCTGGAGAGAAATATCATCTGTGCTGCTGCCATCAATGCCTTAGTTTATAGATGTTGGAGATCTGCCTGTTTTTCAGTGTAGTCCTGTTTCTCTGACTGTGACTGGCTGGATGTGCTCTGACATGTGCTGTGAATTGGCACTCTAGAAATAAACTGAATGCAATTCAAATCAGTAGAAGTTCTAATATTTTCTGTATACTTTACTAAATGGGGCTATGAACCAAACATGTGATTTAAACTGCAACTAAATTGAATCAGTAAAGAGTAAAATTTGGATAAAGGAAAGAAATTTAATCTTAAATTTTTTTTTTTATAGTTAAACATATTTTTCCTATTTTTTTTATCATCGTTTTTATTAGTAGCTGTTGCTGAAACAGCAGTTTAGGAGAATCAAATACCTAATTAGAACATATTTATTTATTTATTTATTAAATTTGGTTATAGAAATATTGTCCTGCTCTAATGGATTGCTATTTTTGTTTTATTTACTTTAATAATTTAACTTCATTTAAACTGCAGTGTTCCTGCTGTTATAGCGCCCCCATCTGGATAAATCTCATTTTATCCAAAGTGAAATATTTTCAATAGTTGAAATGTTAACATTTATATTTTGAATTATTCAGGTTTTCTGTTGAAGAAACCAGGACTCAGTTTATGTTCCAGAACCAGTCCAACCAGAACAGAAGGCAGTGGTTAAACTGGTTCTGCTTTAACTGGCCAGGGTGTTAAAGCTGGAGCTGCATCACATTAAGCTGCTTCAGGTCAGCAGGTTAAAAGGCTCTGAGTAACATCAGCTACTGTGATCTGACTGGGGGAGGGGTCCTAACAGCCCCTCCCTCAGCTCTGATATCTGAGTCTTCATAGAACCAAACAGCTCTGATAATATGCTGATAATCTGGGTTACAGATTCAGGCTCTCATGTTCTAAATGTCTTCACACTGGGAGACGAGAATTATTATCTTAATGGTCTGATCTGCTCCACAAAGTCTTTGAAAGAATCAAAATGTGACCTGGTTATTTTAGATTCATGTTCTCCATTACAGGTTAACGCCACAGCAAAGCGACTCGAAATGAGAAACAACAAAATGTGCTGTTTGGACCTCATTCAGCAGCAACTGGAACCTTCTACAGCAGCGGGTAGCACCT